ATGTTTACTTGCATACATGCTATAGATAGCAAGAGGCAGATCTTCCATTAACCTAGTTAACCCAAGTTGTCATATGTCAGGCTGGTCATAACTTGAGGATGCACTGTACACTATTATATTTCACCTTTATGATCCACTATCTGACTTTCCAGTGAAAACCAATGGAGTCAAAGTAGGGACCATGGGACCATATATTCCTTCCAAGTGGGATACATTTTTTTTTTTAAGTATTCTATTTAAATAGTTTAGGGCTGGGGATTTAGCTCAGTGGTTCTGTCGCCTGCCTCGCAAGTGCAAGAACCATTTAAATAGTTTAGAATTGGTTATAAAAGAAATCTTGATATAATTTTCTAAAATATAGGATTTTTCCTTTGTTTTGTTTTTGAGACAGGGTGTCACTATGTTATTGAGACTGACCTGGAACTCACTATGTAGTCCTGGTTGGTCTCGAACTCACAGTGACCCTCCTGCCTCAGCCTCCCAAGTGCTGGGATTACAGGCGTGCGCCACCACACCCAGCTAAAATACAGGATTTTTGCTGACTATGTTAGCTCAGCTTTATTTTCTTCCTTTTTAAAGAAAAGAAGAAGCCGGGCATGTATCCCATTGGTTTCAAGACAATTAAACACTGGTTATGGTGGCGCACACCTGTAATCCCAGCACTTGGGAGACTGAGGCGGTAGGATCTCTAGAAGTTCGAGGTCAGCCTGGGCCTCATAGTTACTTCAAGGCCACAGTGAGACCTCGTCTCAAACAACAACAAGAAAAAAACACCAAACAAGGAAAGTCTTTTTTTTCACATTTTGTATTAGTCCATGTTCACAGTACATGATTCATCACAGAGGATGCGTACGTGTTCACAACACATCTTAATTTTCGTCCCCTCCTCTACTCTCTCTACAACCCTTCTTCCTCTCCACATTTACAAAAGCCGTATTTAGTAGTTATTGTTCTTTGGTTCTTTTTTGTTTTGTTTGTTTGTTTTTTGAGACAGGGTCTCACTATGTAGTTGAGACTGCCCTGGAACACACTGTGTAGCCCAGGATGGTCTCAAACTCACAGTGATCCTCCTGCCTCAGCCTCCCGAGTGCTGGGATTATAGGCATGCGCCACCACACACGGCTTGTTTTGTTTTTTGGGACAGTCTTGCCATGTGGCCCAGGCTGGCTTTGAACTTGTGGCAATCCTCCTGCCACAGCCAAGTAATGGGATTATAGGTGAGCAACACACACCCAGCTTTTTTTCCTTTAAACACCCTTTCCTTCCTTCCCTGACCTCTCCACCCTCTTCAGAGGCTTTTTATATTCTTCTTATATTTAAGCAGCACGTTATGCTTGACACAATCAATTTATTACATATTGCATCTAGTGAGTCATCACTTCCTGTACATTTTATTTCCACCATCTGTTTTTCTTTTTCTTTTTTTCCTTTTTTTTTTTGAGAGTCTGTCTGTGTAGTTCAGTCTGGCCTCAAACTCACAGCAATCCTCCTGCCTCAACCTCCCTGGTGCTGGGATTACAGGCGTGCGCCACCACAGCCAGCACAACTGGCTTTTGGGGATTTATGTGAAACGTTACTGCTGCCAGGCAACATCTTCAGTTGTTCAAGGTTCTGTCTTTTTCTATGAAGTATATATTTTGTTTTGGGGGTTTTCTGTTTGTTTATTTTGTTTTGTTTTTGGTACCAGGGATTGAACAGACCTTGCACTTGTGAGGCAGGCAGTGGCACCAAGGAGCTAAATCCCTGGCCCTGAAGTAAATATTTTGAATAAAAAGCAATCTCTTTCCCTTACAGCAGATTACACTGATTTGGGGATAAGATATTCTACTCCACATTCTATGTATTGGTTTTGGAATTCAGGCTCAGATTATTTTTATTGGGGAATATTCTCACTAGTCCATTGTTTTCTACCTAACACTGAATTGAATACTCATCTCTTTTTTCATATTTACATTTGAAGAAGCTCTTTCCCCTTTATTATGTCCCCCCCACTGTGTAGAGCAATTAAATCCATTGATCACCTTGAGATGACTACAAAAAAATTACAGGGTGGGCCAGGGATTTAGCTCAGTGGTTCCTCTCACAAGCCCAGGGACCCAAACTGGATCCCTGGTACCAAACAAACAAACAAACAAAAAGTACAGGGTATTGAAAACTCTTTGACTTCCTTGGTGACCACTGTATTGGTCTGTCTTCGCGGTAGCTCTTCCAGCCCGTCTGATAAACAGGACACTGGCGCATCTGCAGCCCACGTCCAGAGGCCCTGTCACATCCTGTGCTTACAGGTCTGTCTCAGTTACTTTTCTCTTGCTGACAAAAATACCCAACACCCAGACTTAAAGAAATAAATGTTTATTCGGCTCACAGTTCGTAGAGGTTTCAGTCCATAGTGGGTTGGCTCCAAAGCAGGGCGGCACATGGCAGAGGGGCATCAAAGGGAAGAAACGGTCCATGGCAAAGCAGGGCAGACAGAAGGCAGCCAGCAGGGAAGTAGCAAGCAGCTAGACACAGCAACTGGAGAGAGACCTTTACTCCCTTATAGTTTATGCAGGCTACTGCCCTTAGGGTGCAGAGCACTCACACCTGGGTGGGGCACCCTTAATCCTACCCAGAACTGTGCCAAACCAATCAGTGGACTCATTTCGTAACCACACGCTTTTAATTCCAACGTCACACACTCCAGATCCAGCCCCCTCCGAAAAGCCTCACCTATGACCTCAGCGGCCTTGCGGGGGACATACAGATAAGAGCCATAACAAGGCCTAGACTTTGTTTTCTGTCTGGTTTGACCAGAAGTCTTTTCTGGTCCTCTATTTCTAACTCTTTGGGCAGTGTTGAAGGCAAAAGACACATTTACTTGCAACCAAAGGCATAAAAGGAATTCCTGGAACTGTTTTTGCATAGCACTGAAAAATGATGGCTTTTACCCAACTATCCTTTGGTCTTACTTTTTTTTTTTTTTTTTTTTTTTTTTTTTTTGGTACCGGGGATTGAACTCAGGTCCTTGCATTTGCAAGGCAGGCCACCGAACCACTGAGATAAATCCCCAGCCCCAACCCACCTATCCTAACTTAATAAAGGTGCTTTCAGCAAAAGCCTTGCTACCTGCTAAGAAAGGAACATTTAAAATTACCTCCTGACTTCAGCAAGTTCTGTGCTTGTTTCTCCCACTCTGAAATGAGTTACTTCCTAAATTTGCTTCCGCGTACTTCTGGGGAAAAGATCCTGGTGTTTCCTGGGGAATGGCAGCTACAATAAAAGTGCAGAGATACACCTTGTAATAAATTAAGATGGATGTGATCATTCTGTATGGCAAACATGTACCAATACAATTTTTAAAGGTTAAAAAAAAATCTTAGCAAGGCATAATGGCACACGCCCGTGATCTCAACCTTTGAGAAGAGGCAAAAGGATCACTGCAAGTCTAAGGCCAACCTGGACTCCACAGCGAATTCAAAGCCAGCCTGAACTTTATAGTGAAACTCTGCCTCAAAACCACCACCACGACAACAATAAAACCCAACTTTTTCTTCCTTTTTTTTTTTTTTGAGTATGTAGGTCAGGCTGGCCTTGAACTCACAGGAGTACTCCTGGCTTAGCCTACTGAGTGCTGGGATCACAGGTGTGTGCCACCATAGCAGCTATAATCCAATCTTTTTCTTTTTTCTTTTGGGTTTTTTGAGACAGGGTCTCACTATGTAGTTGAAACTGACCTCAAACTCATTATATAGCTCAGGCTGGTCTCAAACTCACAGCAATCCTCCTGCCTCAGCCTCCCGAGTGCTAGGATTACAGGCGTGCACCACCACGCCCGGCTTCCAATCTTTTTCAAAAGAGTTTTGCTCTCTGTATTTCCATACTGAGTTTTCAAATCACTTTGTCGTTTTTAGAAAAAAACTTCTAGATATTTTCATGTGAATTGCATTGTCTATTAAAATCAATTTAGGAAAAATTGACATCATACCTGTTATGGCTGGTATCTAGATGTCCCTTGAAAGCCTCATGCAGTCAGTCATATGTGGAGCTTTTTCAGAGGTGGCTTAATCTAGAGCGTGTGATGCTAGGATGAAGGGTGCGGTGTGATCACTAAATGAGTCCATTGGCTTGGCATAGTTTTTTGTCATTGTTTTGGTTATTTTTAGGCAGGGTCTCCCTTTGTACTTCAGTCTGGCCCTGAACTCACTATGTAGCTCAGGCTGTCTGGAACTTGCAGTGATCCTCCTCAGCCTCCATAGTGCTGGGATTATAGGTGTGTACCATTACATTAAGTCTGGCTCTGGTTTGTCATAGGTCTGAGTAACATTAAGGGTACTTCACCCTGGGTGTGAGGGCGACCTGCCCTAAAATATAAGGCCCAGAAAGACAGCTAGTGGGTTGCTTGGCAGTTGGTTTGCTGTCTTCTGTTTGCCAAGAACTATTTCTCTTCTACGATGGCCCTCTGCCATGTACCTTGCTTTGGAGCCAGCTGCCTATGGACTGAAACCTCCACAAACTGAGCTAAATTAACCTCTTCTCTTCTAACTTTGGGTGTTGGGTATTTCGTCTCAGCAATGAGAAGAGTGACTGAAACAATAGCTGAACCCTTTGACCAATGAACATGGCATATTGTGATAGTGATCTGATTATGTCAACTTGAGTAAGCGCCCAGTTAAATCCCATCAGCATAGTTCTGGGTGTGGTTGAAGGGATTCACTGCAGACAGGAGACGCACCCCGGGTGTGAGTGACACCAACCAATAGGGTTGCTGCCTGAATGGAATAAAAGGGAAACAAGGGCTGAAGGCTCACTTCAGCGGAGCTCCTCCTCCCCTTTACTTTGAGCGCCATCTCCTGGATTCCAGCACAGACTCCTCAGTTCCCGGCAAAGACACTTTGGCCTCCTGTGTGGATTTGGTCAGGACACTACAGTGAGCTCCAGGCCTTCCACTGGATCCTTTAGACAGGCTGTTTGTATTCCTCCACACCAAACTCTGTGAGCAGCCATTTTTGGTGACCGGCAAGATGGTGGATGCTAAAGATGGTGTTTTGGACCTGGCTGCCCCTTCTACTACCCCAGTGTCCTTCAGCTTCATCCGCACCTCTGTGCAGAGGCAGCTCGCAGATAAGGGAGATGTTGAGGGGTTGGGCCCAGAGGAAAAGGATTTCAAGAAAGGGAGCTGCAGAGTGTGAAGCCCCCAGAAGCCTCCAAGGAACTGGTCATCGCACTGATCCAGAATATCTATCGCAGGCAGCCCTTGGCTCAAACCCCTGGGCCATTCTCAGAGGCCTTGGCAGATGGGGTGTTGTCCCAGGCTGTGAAGGAGATCTATAAGGAATCCAAGATGTCTCTAGAGGGGAGAGACAATGTGGGTGTTGACCCCATGCTCGCTATCCCCACGATCCAAAAAGGATGCACCCCATACTGGAAAGGTATAGACAGGGAACACCAGGCTGAGACAGTGCCAGCGTCTGATATGAGGCCGTCCCTGTGGAGGCCTATGGGCTGGCTATGCTGCGGGGCATGGGCTGGAAACCTGGTGAGGGCATTGGCCACACTTTCAAACAAGTGGTGAAGCCCTGTGTAAACTCACCGAAGCCCCAGGGGTTAGGACTGGGTGCCAACCCGACGGAGGTCCAGGCTTTGGCCCCCGACGGAGGTCCAGGCTTTGGCCTCCAACGGAGGTCCAGGCTTTGGCCTCCAGCGGCTGCTACCACCCAGCAAAGCCAGATGGGAAGCAAGAGAAGGATAAGGAAGACCAAACTCAAGGGCTGGTGCCTGGAGGTGCTGTGGTGGTCCTTTCCGGCCCTCACCAACACCTCTGTGGGAAGGTGGAAGGCTTTGATCATGACAATGTGCGGGCCATGGTTCGACTAGCAGTGGGCCAGTGCATGGTGACTGTTAGCAACTACTGCCTGCGACCTGTGTCCCAGCAGGAGTTTGCCAAGAATTCCTTGTCAGGTGAGCAGAACTTGCTCCGAGCGACAGCTTCGTCATGGAAGGCCCTCCAGAGTGAAGACCTGCATGGCTGTAGGGAGGACCCGGAAAGGAAGCGGAAACATCCTCCAGATGGACAGGATGGGCCTGCAGCCAAGCGAGACAAAGCAGCCAGCAGGAGTCAGCGCTGGCTGCACAGGGACCTGCTCGTGTGCTTCGTGGACAAGCTGCACGAGGGCGGCCAGTATTACACCACCAAGATGACGACTGAAGATGTCCTGAGCCCAGATACATGTATGTGCAGGACAGACGAAGGCCGAGTCCAGGAAGGCGTGATGGAAAACATGCTGGAGACCCTGGTTCCCAAGGTCGAGGGTGAACGTGTGACGGTGGTACTAGGCCATAGGCTGCAAAGGTGGGACGCCCGGGGGGCAGGGACCGAGGCCGGAGCCGGGCTGTGGTGCACCTGCAGAGAGAGAATCATTCGGTGGAGCTTCACTATAGTGCTGTGTGCCAGTACCGGGGCCCCACTGACTCAGATAAAGACTGACTGTGGGAGCAAACCCATGCTGAAGGCTGTTAACAGTTTTAAATTTTTCTTTTATGAAAAAATAAAACAAATTTTCATAACCAAAACAAAAAGTTCTACTGTTGAGCGATATCTAAACGCACCCTTCCCTCCGCAGACCACAATACCATTGTTTTGTTTCCAGAATATCGAGAAATGCAGACAGATATTTAGCTTAATCGGTTTTGATGATTAGCACAAGCTTCTCTCTTGCAACGGTCAAGGGGTCTGCTACGCCCAAGGACCAACCCAACTAAACCGCCGTGGCACCGACAGCAGTTGTTGTAGGTCTGAGGAGCTGTAACTTGCTCTGCGCTGGAGCTGTTTCGCCTTTGTGAAATGGGGCGGAGATGAGGGCCGGAGCTGGAAGGGTCGCTGATGATAGTCTCTGCCTCCCTGAGCCAAGGGGCAAAGTCTCGGTAGGCTCGCTGTAGCCTCCACTGTTTTGGATGGATCGGGCGAGAGGAGAGGCCACGGCGGCCCCGTCTGCCCCACGGTCCCCGGGAGAAGTGGATGGCTCTCAGAGCGCGGCGTAGACCTCAGTCTCTTTCCGGGCCGCGCAGGCCCGGGAGCCCCTGCAAAACGCTCCGGCCTGCCGCCC